TCCATAACAATATAACATGTAAAAATATGACAAAATCAGTATCGAAATGACAAAACCGGTAGTAAAAAAGTGTGCTTGTATAGTCATTTTTATTTCAGAATTTTTATTTTTTTAATACAAAACGTTGGATATTTTAAGCAAAACCTAGTAAGAAAATAACAAAAACTTTACAGTAACAAAAGAATAACATTGGGAAACTCACCATGTTATCAGTTTCTCAAAGAACAAAAATCCAGAAACAGACATCTTTCAACGCAAATTTATAATATACTTTTATTATCTCCATAGGATAAAGTTAGGTCAGTTTTAGTTTTATTTTTTTCTTTAGGATTTTGTGTCATTGAAACTGTTGATTGAAGAACTCAAACTGGTGCACGCATAAGTGTCGATGCATTTATGAAAAGTATCGATCTAAAAACATCAAAATCGATAATTATTATGTAACATGTAAATTTACAATGTAACCTGTAAAAATATATTGGTTAATTAGTAAATAGGTTTACATTATGTATCGACACTCTTTAAATATGTGTCAATATTTTTTTCCCAAAATGAAAACACAACGAGGTGCACGCATAAAGTGTCAATATATTTAAAATTGTATCAATCCCAAAAACATCAAAACCGATAATTATAATGTAATAGGTAAATTTGCAATGTTACCGGTTTAAATATACATGTTTAGTTAGAAAATATGTCAATATAAACGCTACCTATTACATTTAGGGATGGCAAACGGACGGGTCAGGTGCGGATACCCCCTCCCCCATCCCCATACCCACCTAATATTTTTCAATCCACCACCCACCCACCACCCATGATGGGTACAAATTTTCAAATCCACACCCGCCCACACGGGTACATTTTCAAATCCATCCCCACACCCACTACCCACTAATGACATACCCATCTAGACCCGCCTGATAGCAAACTAATGGAATATTGGAGTTGGTTCCCAGACAGTTCGTGATGGGGTAGCAACGCATGCTTCAATTTGTCAGAGGAGTGACTCTACGAATGTTATGGAGACAGATTGTAAGGAGCATGTAGTCGCAGAGCTGGATTGTTGAGTTGCTTTCGATGTTAATGCTCATAATGCGCCTAATATGAGTTTTGAGGGGCTAAAGAACATGGAAACTGCTGCTTTTGATGTTAATGCATATAGTACGGCTAATTTGTGTTTGGATGGGCAGCATGGGCTAAAGAACATGGAAAGTGAAGTGGTTTGTAGGATTATAGGTTTAATCAAAGAGCCAAATATTTCCCTAATTAAAGACAAGATTAAAGACTAAATATCCTTAATATTTGGTTAAATTATATGTTATATATTATACAATATTAAAGTTTATAAATTAGTCTCTAAAATTACACCTAAATTCATAATGGTCCAAAATTTAATAGATATTTAACTGGGCGGGCGGATGTGGGGCGGGCGGATGCAGGATGGGCGGATGCGGGGCGGGTAATGTCTCAAATCCATTACCCGCCCACCACCCACGACGGGTATCACTTTATAAATCCACACTCGCCCACTACCCGCTAAAATTATACCCATCCCCGCTCCAGTTAGAGTCGATGCGGTGTGAAATCCACGAAACTATACCCTTTTGCCATCCCTAATTACATTATATAAGTGCTACCTAATATATTATTGTACTTGATAATATTTCTGGTTAAATGATATAACATAACCGATCTAAATTTTAATCGATCACTTATTTAACAGATCACGTCATTTTTTAACCCTTTTTTAAACGCCGCACAGCATAGACTCCCTTGAGATGGACCCATACTGGGATTTTATCCAAATTGAACTGTAACGATTGTAAATTTGGTTCCTATTGATATTTGAACCTATTGATTAACCTTAGTGTTAAAAAATTGATATGTGAAACCTTAGTGTTAAAAAATTGATATGTGAAATTATTAAGTGGTTTTAATAATAAAAAAATATTATTTAAAAAAATTGATTTCAAACAATATATCTATAAGATGTATTTACGTTATCGATACACTAATAAATATTTTAAACTAATACTCTCTTTTAATTATTTTATCCAATTAAACATTGATAATTTTATTTTTTTAATTTCTAAAAATTGTTTCACTAACAAATATGGTCTTGTATCCTAGCACTTGTACATATTAAGATTGATTTTTTAATTATTTAAACATTAATGTCTACAAGTGTCTAGAATTATCCTATTTCTTATTTTATTTCTTATTTTATTTCTTATTTACTCTAATTTATATTTTAATATTATAAACTTATGATTAAAATAAAATTTGTTTTTTTAATATCGATTTAAAATAGAAAATGAAAAAGATAACGGGAAGGGCAAAATGAGAAACGAAAATGCACATGATAAAGCAGCACGTTAAGCGTTAGTCTCCCCTTCTCTAACCCTCTCACTGCGTGACCAAAGTGTGACGTTTGCTATCCACGTGGCTAATTCTCCTTTAATGGGCTCAGCAACAGTCTTTGTCGATGACTATCCGATGAGAAACGAAGATAATGTCTCATGTGTCCAAGTTCGTCGCTCGTGCGAAATTAATCCACCGGCCCAACCGAAGGTGGCAAAGACTCTAAACAAATAAAATAAAAAAGTATGAATTAATTTATCTAAGTTGTTAAAAGATTTTTTATTTATTTAGAGGTCATATATGCGAGCATCGATAGGAGTATGAGCGTTTATAGTTAATTGATTAAGTGTCTTTAAATATATATTACCTTATATTTATCACAGATTTATAAAAAAATAAAAAAAATAAAAAATAAAAATACACAAATTTTATAATGTTAATGGCTAAATCTAAAAATTCAGTTCAATGATCAAAATAAGAAAACACAAATAGTTGGCTGGTATATTATAAAGTTTACCATAATAAATAAATAAAATGTTTATTATGGTATGTCTTGTGACTTTTAACTTTTTCTACCCTTTTATGGGAACCCGTAAAAAATCAATTGCGTGAACATCATGTATTTCCTTGGATTTTATTACAAATTTCTTTAGAACTATTACAAATCTCTGCATTTTTTTCATTTTTGAAATTAAAATATTCTTTTTCAAAATTTTGAATTATTCTATTTAGAAATCAAATCAAATGATTATTTATTTTTAAAATAGTCTAAAGTGATTACAATATAAAAAAAAGTAGAATTTTTATAGTCAATTACAATATATATATATATATATATTACTATTAAAACTACTTAATAAATTTTGAAATTAATTATTTTTAATATATATTACCAAATTTCTAGGCGAATGTATGTGTTTGCATAATATATATTATTATAACTTAATAAATGTTATTCGGCCATGGTTGTTTGGTCATCGTTAATTAAAACTGAAAAGATAGATGATTTTTTCACAAGGGATACCAGAGGTTGGGTGTAAATTAATATCGGTTTTACGCGCGTGAAGAAGGTGATTGGGATTTATTTTTTGGCTCGATCCTTTGGTTGATTTAGAAAAATCGTAATAGGAGAATTTTTTATCCGGATTACATTGAGCATGAGTATGTCCTAGTACGGGGTAGGCGCCTCAATCTCGAAGCTAACCATGCAATGGAATCATCTTTGTCAATGACTCACTCTTCTCATCGATTGTCTAATATGTTTGCTTCTTGGTATCTGCCTCCTCTTAATTGGTGTAAGGTTAATAATGATGATTCCCGTAAAACATGAAACAAATTTGTTACTGTGGGGGTGTTATTCGATCCTCGAATGGTGGTTGGATTCTTGGATTCTCTAAAGCGATCATAATATGCTATATCGTTGAAGCGGAGTTATGGGGTATCCATGAAAGTTTTTCTCATGCTTGGAATCTTGGGGAAAGGCAAGTCACGGTGGAAGCAGATAGTTTGGAGGTTGTTCGGATGCTACAGGACATCTCTAATAGAGGCTCGATCATTACTCTTCTAGACCGTGTTAACAAGCTGATAAACTGGGAATGAAATGTTACATTGAAGCATATAAACCGGGCTGCGAATAAGGTGGCAATAAACTAGCAAAGATAACTGCAACAAGAGGTGAGGTTCACTTGGTCTTCTACACTTCACCACTGGAAGTTGTCAATTTAGTTCAACAGGAAGCGGTTGGTTGTAATTTGGCCGTATAGGCTTAAGTTTTTTTAGTTTATATCTTTATTTCCCAAAAAAAATGATAAAACGTTTTAAGTTTAAATTGTGTTTTAATTAGGGTATCAGATCGTTAAATTGTTACTGATATTATGATGTTATATTTTTTATAGAAAATCATTAACTCTTACAATTATTGTTTTCGATTGATCGTTGCCCATCATTAGTCGATATTTACGACAAGATTGATACCAAAACAATCACATTTCATTCCTCTTTCTTCTTAAATTGGGTTTCCACAAAATTTACTCAAAATCGACGAAAAATGGGCCTATTTTTAGGTATATTGTTTGTATTTGAAAAAATTATTCTCATCGTTCGGATTTTCAAACAAGTACTTCAAATTTTTTTAAAAAAAACCCTAAAACCCAAAAATGAGTTTCTTTTTGTGTTTAATTTGTTATGTTTGAAAGAGATTTTGAGAAAATCTAAATCAATAAAATGATCGAAAACGGTGAACAAGTTGATTAATATTTAAGATGATTACAAAGATATTAAATAATGACAAATTGACAATTTCTAACGACAAATTGAAATAAAAGGAAAAAAAGCTTTAATTTTGATGAAGATGATATGATGGAGTAAAACATTAAGTTTTTAGCTTTCACGTCATCATATGTCAACTTCTACATCATCCAACTATTATCGGTTTAACAGTCCAATGCTCTAATTAAAAAGTAAACTAAAATTCAGTGTTAAAATTGAAGTATTTTAAAGTTTAATGCTAAAGTTTAACTACTAATAGAGTATTTTACCCTTTTTTTATCCTACAAAACCTTTACACTTATTCTAAAAATACACTCGGCACAATAATACACCGGTTTAATTTCTTTACCTATGCATAAATCAAGAGAGCAAAATTTATCATGAGCCCTATACCCTATCAAAATGTGATGAAAAATTATGTTCAAGGTAAAAGATACTATTTTTTTTAAATAATTAACAAGAAACACACTGTGTTAGTCTGTTAGAATCTTAGTGGCAGTAGCTGGTATAAAATGATACTGCCGATGAGGAATTTCCGGGCGATCGTGGAGGAGAAAACAAGAACGGTCTCGGTGGAATCGGTAAAGATTGAAGGGTTCCTTGTAACATCTCTAGCACTTTCGTCATTGATGGTCGGTCAGACGGATTCGTTTGAATGCACCATAAACTCACTATAATCATCTTCTTAGTTGTTTCTTCATCTTCAACTGTGATTCCTTCAAGATTTAATGCTTCTTGATGGAGATGCTCGTAAATCCATGTAGGGAAGTTCGTTTCGCTTGTTATCGACCCTCCGACGTGAACGTTTTCCTTTGCTCCAACCATTTCGAGCACCATCATCCCGTGGCTATAGACATCGGATTTGTACGAAACTCCCCCGAAGTTTCGACAGAATAATTCCGGGGCGATGTATCCTATAGTTCCCCGGGCGGTTATCGACGAAAGAACGCTTTGTTTCCGCTCGCATGACTTTGTGAGACCGAAATCGGAAATCTTGGGAAGAAAGTCATCGTCTAGGAGGACGTTATGAGGTTTTATGTCCAGGTGCAAAATTCTTGTGTTACATCCTTGATGGAGATATTCTAGTCCTCTAGCGATCCCGACCGCGATTTCAAACAATGTTTTCCGGTCTAGCACACGAAGTTGATGATCCCTGGATCCATGGTGATAGATGAACTTATCCAATGATCCATTCGGCATGAATTCATACAATAAAGCTCTGATCGAACTCTCGTAGCAGAATCCAAGAAACGTCACTACATTGACATGAGAAGTTCGACTAATACTCGCAACTTCATTAATGAATTCCTCTCCATCCCCCCTCGACTCACTCAGGACTTTGACAGCAACGAGACGACCGTCGGGCAACTTACCTCTATAGACAGTGCCGAATCCGCCTTCGCCGAGCTTGTCTTTGAATGACTTGGTGATTTTCTTGATGTCCGTATAAGAATATCGCTTCGGAGCAAGATCCGAACCGTATCTCACGATGAAAGCCTTGATCCTTTCACTGTTTTTCCTTTGCTTTTGCTGTAAATTCATTAGCATTCCACTTGACAACGATCCTTTCTTAAGCCTCAAGGCAAACACCATAAGACAAACCACCATAGCAGTAGCCCCAACCACTGCAAACCCTGTTTTAAATGAATGGCCCAATTAGCTTAGAAATTTTAGTTGATTTTCATTTCTTCTTCTTCAAATATGATTAAGATAAATTACCTATGATTAGTTTAATCCTCAAACTGGTGCCTTTAGATGACCCTGTAACATAAAATACAAGAAATTAAAGAAAAAAATATTTAATTACTCTTCAAAAGCAAGCATGTTAATTTAGAATAATAACATGTTCATAATTTGTCAGCTTTAAATTTGATGCTTTCACATAAATCATATTTCAAAAGTGACTGACAGCTGGCTGTTGATTGGATACTTTGTTTCTGCGTTTATATTATAATAATAGCAATCAATGTTCTTCATATTCATGCTTTTGATTTATGCCATCAAACCACTTAAGAGCTAAAACAAAACGCAGATTTTGACTCACGTGGTTGAAAAGGTTGCAGGTTTTGGAGAACTTTTGAGTTCTTTTTTAAGGGGAAAAGAAACCCACCAAGGAATTTCCAAAAGTTGACTAATTTGATCCACAAAACTAAGAAAAAAGAAAGAAAAACTGTGGTTTTAGTGCATACCTGATAGAAGACACATGGTTGAAGGAGTTGCAGGTTTTGGAGAACTTTTAAGTTCTTTTTCCAGGGGAAAAGAAACCCACCAAGGAAATTCCAAAATTCGACTAATTTGATAAACAAAACTAGGAAAGAAAGAAAATATGTGGTTTAGTGCATACCTGATAGAAAACATGTTGATGGATCGGTATGATCTTGACAATAACAAGTGAACTGATTCAAGCTCTTATTGTACCCACACCTCCCACCAGAACCATTGCATTCCTCACACTTGGAAGCAATTTTTTCATCCCATTTCAGACCAAATCCATTACCGAGTGGCAAAACCAGAGTATCTGGAGTTGGTTTGCTCTTAATCGTCTCAGCTGCAACCCATCTTTAACTTCATCCGAGAGGTTATCAAAAACAGATGCTATAACATAGTAATTCACCAGCTCTCTTCCACTGCTGTTGCTGCAGTTGAACCGAGTTGGAAACCCTAAAAATATGTCAGAAATCAAAGGACAGTCATAGTACAATGTTATGTTCTCGAGATTCCAGGCGTAGCTCAATATGTTGAAGTTCGAGGTGGTGTTGGAAAGAGTTTGGGGGCACAGGGTTTGCAGATCAGTTCTTGCAACGGTAAAAGCTTGTAAATCGAGGTTGATTTCGATGACTCTGTAGGTGACAGACACGATTGAAATCAGGGTTTCTTCATTTTCCAGGCAGGTTAACTTTAGCTCTGGTTGCCCACAGTTCTCAGGCCTGTCACCTCCCCAGAAAGGGTAGCTGACATTCTTTATGTTCCCACAATGGAATTGTTTGCTGCAGGCTGAATAGTTTCCATTGCTTGAACTTAATGATGCTGGAAGCTGAACAGATAGAAGGATGATGGTGAAGAAAACCAGTAGCTTGAGAAAGAATTTGGCAACTATTTTCATACTGAAAAGACAAAACAATGTGAATGTTATGAAGAGGGTTTCCTTTTAGATTAAAGAAGCGATTCAAAGAACTTGGGAGAAGTTAGAAGGAAGTTTCCCCCATTTTCTTTTATTATTATTAGTAATAATTAGACTGAGAATGTGAAACATTCCTACTGGGATCGTGCTTGTTATTAACATTGATGGGGCCTGCTGTGGTTTATATTTTGTTTATCATTTTTCAAAAGACCATTTTCTAGTTATATACTATAATAATGGCTAGCAAGAAGAAGGGAAAAAAAGAAGACGAATTTGGTCTTCTTTTGTCTTCCTTAATTCTATTTATACATGATTTCCCACTTTGAAAAAGGGAATGGTAGATCATTTATAGGAGTGTACATGGTTCGATTCATTTTTTTTTAATTTCTTTAATAATTTAACGTTTTATTTGATTAATTTTGATTTTTCATATTAATTTTAGGTTATGAGGTTTTATATTTATCTTGATAAAATATTTTTATTTTATTAATTAAAAATATTATTTGATAATAAATTGTTAATTTTATTAAAAATAGAAAATATTCAAATTACTTTAAAAACATAAACTAAACATATAATAAAGATATTTTCCTTTATACAAAAAATTAGCACTTAAGATCACGTAAGAATCATATATTGAAAATATTAAAACACATAACAAAATGAACTCGAACAAAAGGTAGATACAAACAGTTATAACTGCATCGACAAACAAACCACAAAAATGATGGAGCTATTGAAATATATTAAGTTTAACTAAAAGCATTAAACTTAATTATTGAAACAAACAAATTCATCAAACAATCTTAGTGTTTAAGATGAATATTATTTTTTTTAAGATCTTAGGTTCGAACAGTTGCATCTTCGTGCATGGTATATATGCATTATCAATAACCAAGATAAATTATAAAAAATTATTATTTTATAATCACTCATACTATTAAAATAAATAAAAATGAAACAAATCTATGAGCAATTGTACAACATCGTTTTCAGATTTCATTGATCATGACTGTTTTTGCCCATTTTTTAATCTATGTAGATTCAATCCCATGATGAATTTTTTTCTTACCCCTTTCGCGGGTTTGGGACCAGGCATGGCAGTTGGACTTTTATTTATTTATTTATTATTATACTCTTGATTTTTTTATTCTTATTAATTTAGACTAATTTATGTCGTACATTTAGTTATAATGTATGAGTCTCTCTATAAAAATTTTCTATAAACATAAGATCTTAAACTCAAAACATATTTCAATAAAAATGAAACAAATCTAAGAGCAATTGTACAACATAGTTTTTAGATTTCATTTTTTATTTATTTTAATAGTACGAGTGATTATAAAAATATTCGCCATTTGATTTTGGGTGTACACTGGAATGATCACGCTACTTATTAATCTTTTTCATACGTAAAAAGTAATTCCTCCAAATCATTCATTGAATTAGTGGAATGAAACATTAGATTTATTAAATAGAAATAACGATTCAATTCTGACATTTTAAATGAATTAAATTGAATTGATAAAATCATCTTTACAATAAATTTTTGTAATATACTATTCAAATTAATTGAACAATAGATTAAATATACTATTAAATTTGATAACATTAGAAGGAGATTTAGTTACGTAATTTAGCCTTCTCTTTAAAAGTATCTAAATTTGGTTTTGTTGTTGTTTAAAAGTATCTAAGATGAATTAAATTTGGTTTTATACGTAAGAAATCTATGACGTTTTTTGCCCATTTTTTAATCTATCCCATGATGAATTTTTTTCTTACCCCTTTCGTAGGATTGGGACCAGGCAAGGCAGTTGGATTTTTTTGGTTATCCTCTTGGTTTTTCGGGGTTTTGCTGATTAATTTGGACTGATTCATGTTGTACACTTAGTTTTAGTAGGTGAGTCTTTCAACGAAAATTTTCTGTAAACATAAGACCTCGAACTTGAGACCTATCTAATCGATATCAAGTTATTAACGACTTAAACCAATCTCGTTGATCAGTACAACAGAACTTTTATTTGCAATCTAAAGTCTTTCAACTTTGTCGTTTTAACTTGAAAGTAACATGACATATTGTCTATGTTAACCTAATGCTTCATGTGGTACATCATATGACAAGTCGTCTGTAAAATTAAATTATCAATCTTTTATCATTTTTGTAAGGGATTATATTATATTCATCTCAGATAAATTAAAAAAAATTAACACACTCATTGTTTGCTAGCCAAATTTCGTAATCTTTTCAAAAAGAAACCCTGCTAGTTGATATCATTTGCCTTTGGGTAAATTTGTTTCAATATATAATTTGAAGTGGTCAATAGGATTGTATCAATTAACGACAATCATCTTTAATTTTGCTAGTGAAATGAAGAGGAATGAATTCAAAGAGACAACAACTATAATTTGTTTGTGTGAAAGGATAGGTCACATACACTCATTGTTTGCTAGCCAAATTTCCCAGTCTTTCCAAAAAGATACATTACAATTTTATGTTCTTCCTTTTTCGATGAAATTGTAATGGAAGCAAAATATCTCTAATTTTTGTGAGTGAGAAGAAAATGAAATGAAAGAAACAACTGCTATAGTTTGTTTTTGTGTGTAGAAAAACAATGTTCGGAATTTTAATACACTTGTTTGCTGGCTAAGTTTTATAATTTTTTAGAAAGAGACCTTACAAGTTTATATAATTTCCCTTTCGATAAATTTATTTCCATACATGATTTGAAGTGGTCTATACTCTATAGAATTGTATCAGTTAATGTTAATTATCTTTAATTTTAGGGTAAACTATACATTTAGTACATAACCTATCAGTTTTGGTCCGTTTTAGTAACTAAACTTTTATTTTTTTCAAAACCATACTTAATGTTTAGTTTTTGTTTCATTTTAGTGTCCCCGTCGTTAAAAACTTAACGGACGATGGACGGACGACCAATCCGAATGATGGACAATGAGAGAATGACGAGTCAACAAAAATAGTTCAGTTTCAAGCTCATAAGATCGGAAGATGAAGAAATCGAATAGTCTATTATCGATTTGGGGAGACTGAGGCGTTTTCCGATGAAACGAAGGTCAAAATCGCGTTTAAGGAGTTGAAAAGGTGCATGCTAGAAAGTTTAGACTTCATTGGCCAATAGATGCGACGGCCGATGACTGTAGATGCAGCAGCCGATGAATTCGTCCGTTAAATTTTTAACGGCGGGATACTAAAATAAAACAAAAATTAAACGTTAGATACGATTTTGAAGAAAATAAAAATTTAAGTACCAAAACTAATAATTTAGATACTAAATGCGTATTTAAACCCTTAATTTTACTAGTGAAATGAAATGCTATGAATTCAAAGAAACAACTATAGTTGGTTTGTGTGTGAAATAATAGGTCAAATTCACTCATTGTTTGCTAGCCAAATTTCATAATCTTTCCACAAAAGACACGTTACAATTTTATGTTCTTTCTTTTTCGATGATATTGTCTAAACTAGTTTCACCGGACTTTTCCGCCCTTTTTTTCCAGTGAGAAGAAAAGCAATTAAATTTATTCTAACTTATAAAATTGTAAGAAGATAGATTTATAAAATTACAGAGGGGATGAGAATATATTTTTAATAAAAATATAAAAAAAATATTTAATATATGTGTGTTAATTATACAATATGTCCCAAACTATAATCCTCATTTTAATTGGTCCTTAAACTTTTGAATATTTTAATTTCATCCTCAAACTATGACTCTCATTCTAAATTAGTACTTAAACTTTTAAACATTCTAATTTCATCCCTAAACTATGATCATCTTTCTAAATTGGCCCCTAAACTTTTGAATATTCCAATTCCATCCCCAAATTCATCCAAATATCTAATTAGTTTCAACCATAATTTAACCTAAATTTTATTTTTTTGAAACATATAGTAATATAACTTGGCCTAATGAATTTAACTCTTCTCCAAGAATTTGATTGTGCCTATAATAACATCACAGGTGAATGGAGGATCATTTGGAAACTACGATTGACTCATTTAAGGGGAATGAAGCATTGTGTGGTGCACCTCAACTTCATCTTCCAAGCTGCAAAACTAAACCTCTCGAGAATTTCAAGGCGAAGGTTAAGCTCATGATTGGTTATGGGACTAACCCCTTATTAATTTCCTTCCTTTTCTTCTTTGCGTGCACGGGATGTTTTGGGCACTCGTACGGAGGGGAAGTCATCTCTTGCAGTGGCAGAGGAGATGGGGGCTTGTTGAGGCTGACTGGAGTTGGAATGATGGCAGGGTAATGTGGGCGTGGTGAGTTGCAGCAGTTGGGATGGTCACGGATCAGGAGTCTGGTTCGGATCTGCTGGGTTGTGTTATTTGGG